TTAACACACTTCTCAACTTAATTCTTTAAAAATAGGTCTCAAATTTAGAAAAAAATAATTTAAATCTTGAAAATTAAGAATTTGAAACTTTTACATATATAAATAGATTATTTGAATCCTAAATATTACAAGATATTTAAAAACAAAAAAGAATTCTTGTTAAACTCTACTTTTTAAATAATAAAATCATTTTTATTGGAGGGGTTCCAAAGAAACTATTCGATATATTTATGTGAGTAACAAGTTTAACTATTAATTAGAATTAATTATTCAATTAGATGAATAAAATTTAATTTGGTTACCCCACCAAATTACAAAATTAGAAATAATAAAATAAAATTAATAAACGAATAGCTTTATTTAAAGAAAAAAAATGAAATAAGAAGCCTTTTAGATATAATAAAATTATACTAAATGTACTTAAGAATTACATTAAAAAAAAACTTAAGTACATTAAAAAAAAATGATATAGTCATTAAAACTATCAAAAAATAAAATATAAATATAAATTTACAGTTGAAAAATAAATTATACTAAAATAGAAACATTAGAAATAAATGTATATATTTTATGAGTATATATGTATATGTATATGTATATGGGTGAGGTCAGAGGCGTGGAGTCTACCCCTTCTTTCCCAATTAATGGTATATATATTTATGGAGAATTAATGGTATTTTTCTGGTTCAACCGGTTGGAAAGGTAGAGGATGAGGTTGTTTTTATTTGTTTTTGATGGCTGAGATTCGTTGAAGTTGATCGAACGGCTGACAAGTTTTGAGATATGACGCGTCAGACTTGTTGTTGAAGTAGAAAGAATCAGGTGGTGCTGCCATTGGCAACTGATCCTGTCAGTATAAATGCTTTTGACTTCTGACAAAATATTAAGAGAATTTGTTCAGAAAACCGGATTAACCGTTGACATGTCGTTAAAGACAAAAATCCTCGCCCACCGTGGGGCTCGAACCCACGACCACAAGGTTAAGAGCCTTGCGCTCTACCGACTGAGCTAGACGGGCTTCTTGATCTCGGTAAATCGCGTATAATAATTAAAAAGACCGAGCCTACCATCCTCGGCCAACCTTGCATTCATATCATATAATGGCTCGTGGTCTGATAACACTCCATTTTTATATTACAGCACGATGCATACATTTATCACTTGCAAATATAACATCCGTGTCTGAATTAATGCTAGAAGAATTAACCATTGAACAAAACTCAAAAGCAAGTTATAATTTAATCCACAGATTCCTTGATTTGAAACCAAGGTCAAACCAACATACATGCAAAACCTTGAACTCTTAACGCATATAATTTGAAATCCCCTGGCTAGCTTGGGCAAAGCATATTTTTGAACCACCTCAGTTAATCCCCACCTTAACCACTAATTTACCATCTAGCCTTTTAATGATGTCAACTAGAAATCAGGCGTCTCCAAGTGCTGTCTTTGGCGAATGAATACTAGAAGGGTATTGTTCTCTGAAGGAGTCCTCTAGTCCCAAACCTAGTCAAGTTTAAGATCCTCAATACGAATATCATGAGAGCCTCCGTTCTGCACTCCATCACTTTTGTGCTCCCCTTTCAACTGAATTAGAAAGACAAGGAACAATTAGCAGGAGCTACTACATAACATCCAAGGCAGAACACTGGCACACAACTAAAACATGACAGACTCCTTCACACCAGAAAGTAGTGAATTGGAGCCAGCAATTTCTCTACATGAGATTGATAGACACCCATGACAAAATCAACAGAAATGGAACATGTAGAAACAAATTTCTCATGCTTCCAAAATATTCAATTTTTTCTTTCAGCTACATTATATAAAATATTATCAAGACTAGAGAACTTCGGGCAGATCCCAGAAAGTTCCCTAGGAGCAGGGTATAATCTAACCCAAGAAAAAACAGGGCAGCAAATTACCTTGTACAAGAGCTTCTTTTGATATCGGTAACCCTGGTCAGAGAAATAATATTAGAAAATCAGTGCTTCAACAGATACTAAAAGGGAAGAGGAGATTTGAAGGAGAGAAAAAAGTAAAATTTGAGCATTACCTTGTCGGTTCCATAAATATAATCACAGTATGTGAATACTGAAGCAAAATTGCTCTGGCTTTGTCCTCCAACATAATGGTGGTAGTCATGATAATCAGCACCGCCATAAAATGGGATATATTTTGTTGGAGTCCAAGGGAAGTCATATCTGTGTAATAAAATTGAAATTATCTTAAGATGTACATGGACATTTAAAGCAGGCCAGAAAAGGAAAGAGCAAAATGAGCAGAGAATGTAGAATAAAATGAAAGAGCAGAGAATGTAGTCATGATAATCAGCACCACCATAAAATGGGATATATTTTGTTGGAGTCCAAGGGAAGTCATATCTGTGTAATAAAATTGAAATTATCTTAAGATGTACATGGAGATTTAAAGCAGGCCAGAAAAGGAAAGAGCAAAATGAGTAGAGAATGTAGAATAAAAAGCTCTATGGCTGCCAAATAGAAAGAAACTGCACACAGCACAAGGTCTTGGGATAATGACAAAAAGTATTTTCTTTTCAGCTTAAATCAGGCTGCAAGAAAGCAAAAAGAAAATAAATAGCATGCATTACTTAATACTCTGTAAACCGGAAATGAAGAAAATTATCTACAATTTCCAGCAAACAATTAGCATGCATTAAGATGGTATGAACAAACAAAATTCATAACATATTTGATAAATAAACCCCTTTACTCCTAGTGTGCCAGGATCCATCGCAAGGAAAATTCAAAAAAGACAACCCCTGGTTGCAGATATTTTAGCTGAGAACATTTTCTTTCTCTTCTATCAGATGATAGAAAAAAAACCCCCTAAATTTCACATAATTTTTAATTTCTAATATTGCTTCAAAAGATTTCCCCATTTGTGTGATCAAGTAACTTCCCAATCCCAAATTCTTGTGTTGAAGTAATGAGATACAACTAGCCAAGTAACTCTGTTTCTAACAGTCATCATTGTACTTTTTATTTGATACCTAAATGACCAAACAAAGTTCATCAAAATGCCTCGGCAAGAATTACTAAACTCGACCTATTGAAATTGCTTCAACATGCTTCACATCTTTTACAAAAACTAAGAATTAGCTTTATAATATATTTGAATTATTGGATAATCAACGAGCAATGATATTGGAGATCAACATATGCAAATCTTTTTATTTGATGACATGTAGCTAAAAAAATTCATCAGTCATCATTCATGTTTTTCTCTTGCAGCTTTAGAATATTGTTTATTTAAAACCAAAAGAAGAA